GCCGCGCCCGCATGCGGTTCCACCCCAATTTCGGTGCACTCCTCACACGTTCCGTGGTCCCAAAGAGGGCTCCAACGAAGGCTCCAGTGGCAGCGCCCGCATGCGGTTCCACCTTCCATGTCCGCGAATCCCTCACACGTGTCGTGGCCCCACAGGGAGCTCCGCCTAAGGTCCCAGTGGCAGCGCCCACATAGAGGTCCCACCACAGTTCGGCACACCCTTCACGCGCTTCGTGGCCTCATGAGACGATCAAACGATGGCAATCCTCACAACGACGGTATCCACAACTGCACATGGTTGGGCCCTTCGCCAGGCTCATTTTTTTACGACGCGAGGGGATCTAGGGGTCCATGGTCGAAAACGTGGCTATGAGGAAAACCCTGGAAGCATTGAAGACGGACGAAGTGACGAATTCCGCAAGCCCTCACAAGGCAAAACCTTCCGTAGTTTTTCTCGCTACGCAAAGATGTCAGTCCCCCCGTCCCCCGCGTCCTTGTCGTTGAAGTCGCTCCCCGTCAGCTCCAGGTCAAAGATGGACCCCTTCCGCTGCACGAGCTGGGGAGAGCCCGCGGGCAAACCGCCCAGCCACACTCGGCCGCGTGATCGTCGTCGTCGCCGTCGTCGTCGTCAACGTCGTCGCCGTCGTCGTCGTCACCGTCGTCTTCGTCGCTGCCGCCGCTGTTGCCGCCGACACCGTCGTCGTCGTCGTCGTCGCCGTCGTTGTCGTCATCGTTATCGTTGTCACTGCCTTCATTGTCGTGGTCGTCGTCGTCGTCATCGTCGTCGCCGCCGTCGTCGTCGTCGTCGTCGTATTCGTCGTCGTGGTCGTCTTCCGCCTATTCCTCCTCCTCCTCCTCCTCCTCCTCCTCCTGCGTCTTCTCCTCCTCGTCCTCCTCCTCCTCCTCCTCCTCCTCCTCCTCCTCATCCGTCTCATCCTCGTCATCCTCCCCCACCTCCGCCTCCTACTCCTCCTCCTCTTCCTCATCCTCCTCCTCCTCCTCCTCCTCCTCCTCCTCCTCCTCCCTCCTCCTCCTCCGCATCATCATCATCATCATCATCATCATCATCATCATCATCATCATCATCATCATCATCATCATCATCATCATCATTATCATCAGCATCAGCATCAGCATCAGCATCAGCATCATCATCATCATCATCATCAGCATCATCCTCATCCTCATCGTCATCATCATCATCAGCAGCAGCAGCAGCATCAGCATCAGCATCAGCATCGGTATCATCAGCATCATCAGCATCATCAGCATCATCAGCATCATCATCATCATCATCATCATCGTCATCATCGTCATCATCATCAGCATCATCACCACCATCACCACCATCACCATCATCATAATCATAAGCATCATCATCATCATCATCAGCATCATCAGCATCACCGACATCAGCATCATCATCATCATCATCAGCATCATCATCAGCAGCAGCATCATATTCATCGTTATCACAATCATCATCATCAGCATCATCATCATACTCCGCATCATCATCCTCATCGTCACCATCATCATCAACATCACCATCACCATCATCATCAGCATCATCAGCATCATCAACATCATCATCGTCATCGTCACCATCATCATCATGCTCATCATCATGTTCATCATAATCATCATCATCATCATCATCATCATCATCATCAGCATCATCATCATCATCATAACCATCATCATAATCATGATCATTATCATGAGCAGCAGCATCATCAGTATCATCGTCATAATCGTCATCGTCAGCATGAGCATCATCATCCTCAGCAGCAGCAACATCAGTATCATCATGATCAGCATCATCAGCATCATCATCATCATCGTCGCCGTCCTCCTCTTCCTCCTCCTCCTCCTCCTCATCATCATCATCCTCCTCCCTCTCATCCTCCCAACCGACTCCATGCAAGCATCAGGGTTAACCTCATCGCTGCCTTCCTGATCCTCCTTCTCCTCCCCCTCCTCCTTCTCGTCATCATCACCAGCATCATCAGCAGCAGTCGCATCAGCAGCCGCAGCAGCATCAGCATCAGCAGCATCATCATCAGCAGCATCATCATCCTCATCATCATCAGTTGCATCATCATCATCATCATCATCATCATCATCATCATCAGCATCATCATCAACATCATTATCACCATCCTTATCATCGTCATCATCATCATCAGCAGCATCATCACCATCATCATCAGCATCAGCATCATCATCAGCAGCATCATCATTATCAGCATCACCATCATCATCGGCATCGTCATCAGCATCACCAACATCAGCAGCAGCATCATCATCAGCAGCATCACCATCGTCATCATCATCAGCAGCAGCATCATCAGGATCATCATCATCATCAGCAGCCACAGCAGCAGCATCGTCACCATCATCATCAGCATCAGTAGCATCAGTAGCATAATCATCATCATCATCATCATCATCATCATCATGATAATCATCATCATCATCATCATCATCATCATCATCATCAGCATCATCATCATCATCGTCAGCATCATCATCATCATCATCATCATCACCACCACCACCAACACGACCATCATCATCAGCAGCAGCATCATCATCGCCACAAGCATCGCAACCACCACAATCATCATCGTCATCACCACCACCATCAGCATCCCCATCATATTCATCTACCATCAGCATCATCATGATCATAAGCAGCAGCACCACCATCATCATCATCGTCATCATCAGCAGCCGCATCACCATCAGCAGCATCATCAGCATCATCATCATCATCTGCATCATCTGAACATCAGCATCATCATCATCAGCAGCAGCATCATCCTCATCATCGTCAGAATCAGCATCACCATCATCATAATCCTCACTATCATCATCAGTTGCATGATCATCATCATCGTCATCCTCATCATCCTCACCATCATCATCAACATTAACAGTAATAATAGCAAAAACGACACCAACAACAACCATCAGTTAAAGACTGTTCGATCTTATACGCGTGCGTGTCTATCAACATGTGTGTCCCAGACCCTGGATTCCTGCCCTCGTCGTCTTCGGTCGTATCCCCTTTAGGGGGGATGTCTTTCTTCCCTGCCACGTGTAATTGGCGCAGCCTTAAGCGAAAGGGGGCCACTGAGGGCTGCAAAGGGGCCAGAAAGGGCAGCGCGAGGGCCACGAAAGGCTACCTCCAGGCCATGAAGGTCAGCGAGGGGGTTACGAAAGGCGACCGCAGGGCCACAAACGGCATCGAGGGGCCCAAATAGCGGGGCCACGAAAGGCGTCGAGGAGGCCACGAAGGCATCGGCGGGGCCTTCAAATCCGACTGCGGTATCGCGAGGGGCAGCGAGGGGCATCGGAAGGGGCGAAATGCAGCAAGGGGCGACTGCGGGCCTTACCTTCGGATCAGGCGGGCGGACCCTGACGGGCGGGTCGAACGGCCCGGTCGCGAATGCGTGAGCCCTGCCTAATTCGTGAGGATGTCTCGTGCGAGATCGCGATTCCCAAGTAAACCATAAAGAAGTTCAAAGCGACTGCGCAATTCCTGTTTAGCGGGAGCGCGGCGCCTTAGCAAAAACAAGGAAGTCTCAAGCGAGATAGAGATTCTATGAACAGCGAAGAAGTTTCAAGCGGGAGCGGGGGGCCCAATAGCTTGTGAGAAAGTATCAGGCGGAGCCGCTGTTGCTGTAGTTCGGGGGCCAGGGAGCCAATTTGAGCCTCACGTCTTTCGCAGATAAAAAAGGGTGCGAGCCCCAGGAGGGGCACTTCAAATGAAAAATACAATGTGCGCCAGGGGGGGATCAGCAATAATTATTCAAATTATTCTTCAGAATGTCGAATGCCAAAACAACAGCAACAACAAAAACAACAGCAACAAACAACAACAGCAACGACAACAACAACAACAACAACAGCAGCAGCAACAACAACAACAACAACAACAACAACAACAACAACAACAACAACAACAACAACAACAACAACAACAACAACAACAACAACAACAACAACAACAACAACAACAACAACAACAACAACAACAACAACAACAACAACAACAGCAACATGCAGCAGCAGCAACAACAGATATCAGCAGCAGCAACAACCACAACAACTGCAGCAGCATCCTCCTCCTCCTCCTCCTCCTCCTCCCTCCTCCCTCCTCCTCCTCCTCCTCCTCCTCCTCCTCCTCCTCCGTCCGTGTCCGAGGTCGCCGACACCTCCCCCGCCAGTCGCCGCCGCCGTGCCCCCCTTTTCCGGGAGAGACTGCTCCTGGCAGTGGCCCGCGCAACCCGGCCCCCAGGGCGCGTAGGAGCGGGGCGCGGCGGGAGACGCGGCGGGAGGGGGCCCAGGACGCGGGGGAGAGCCAGGAGAGGAGAGGACGCGGCAGAGGGAGAGAGGCGAGGAGGCGGGGGGGAGAGGCGGGGGCGGGAGGAGGCGAGGAGCAGGACGAGGGGAGAGCGCGAGGGAGGGAGAGCACGAGGAGGAAGCGCGAGGGAGGGGAAAACGAGGAGGGGGGAGGCGGGGGCCACCTCCAGGCAGACCCGGACGCCGCGCGAGCCCCCAGAAGCCAGGGCGCGGGCGAGCTCACGCCGCCGCCGTACCAACCTGCCGAGACGTCGGGCGCTGCGGGCGGCGCCCTCCGCCACCCGCCCCAAATCTCCGACGACGTGCGTCGTGTCAGTCCAGGCCCGTCATCGGGCCGCGGGACGAGAACGAGGACGAGGACGAGGAGGGGGAGGAGGAGGAGGAGGAGGAGGAGGAGGAGGAGGAGGAGGAGGAGGAGGAGGAGGAGGAGGAGGACGAGGACGAGGACAAGGACGAGGACGAGGATGAGGAGGTGGAGGAAGAGGGGGAGGAGGAGGACGGGGAGGAGGAGCTCCGAGGAGTAGGTCCGGGCCTCCCTCGGGCCGCGCACTGCGAAAGTCACACTCGTCGGACGCCTGGGGGCCCACCGCCGCCTGCGAGCGAGGGCGCCCCGCCGAGAAGCCCGCCGCCTCAGGCGGCCTTCGGGTGGAGCGGGCCGACGCGCTGGGCCCACCGGGCCCCGGTCGCCGTGTTGAGGAGCGAGATCCACCCAGCCGGGTGCTCCAGGCGGCCTCTCGGAGGCTCTAAACGACGTGATAAGGGAGATCCTGGAGGCCTGGCGCGGCAACTTGGGACCCAATTTCACTGGGATCCACGTCGGATTTACGTCGGGTTCCCGTCAGATTCACCTCGGATTCGCGTCACGCTCTCCATGGCAAAACCATCGAAACCCAGGGCACCCTGGAGGCAAGCAGGGTGTTTCTTGGCATGGGCCCCCACTACAGGGCTCAGGTCGTGATTTCTCACACTGCTGAGCTGAATATAGAGCAACGGATCTCAGGGCCCACCGGCCCTGGGCTGTCTTCTGCGAGCTCCTGGCTGGTCTCGGTGGTCTCCTGGCGGTCTTCGGCGGCCTTCTGGCGGTCATCCGCGGTCTGCAGACGGTCTCTGGCGGTCTCCTGCGCGAAAGCGGCATGGTGGCATGACCCACGAGGCCCATGATCGAACACCAGAGATAGACAGCCCGCCTGCCAGGTCGAGTGACGCGCTGCCCCTTGTTCGTTGTTCGGCTCCCGAGGGGGCGCCCGAAGCGCGGTGGTGGCATGACCCACGACAGGGAAACGAACTCTATACACCGACGCTTTTTCCGACATTGCGCTGAAATTCGCACAGGAATGCGGATCCTGGTGTACACGGGATCCTGGTGTATACGTTTCTCGTTGCTTCCCCGGGACATCGGGGAAAAAAGTGTACACCAAACCACCCCGACGTCGTCCCCGACCCTCAAAAAGTCCTGGGATTGAAAAACAGCCCGCCACTGGTAACGTATATGCTCCGGTTTCCGAGTATTGGCTCCACGGAGATCCCGACCCGTTGGGCCGGTTTCTCATCCAGACGATCCCGAGGGCCAATGGAGGCCGAGAATGGCCAAAATCATCCGTCGCGAATTTTTCACGACGCGAGGGGAGATCCTGCTGCTTTGCGTGAATTGACTCCCATGAACGGAACCGAATTGGATCCGCAAGTGGATCAGTCTTGCGGTTGGGGATGTAGAAGCCATGGTGCTTTTTTTTTTGGGGGGGGGCCAGCTATGATGCCAGCCCATGCCCACCCCGTCCCGTCTCCAGGGGACTTAGCCGAGCCTCTCAGTCTCCGCTGCGACGGCAGGTGCACAACCTTCGAGTAGGGGATCGACTACAGAATCGATGTTCCCCACAATTGATCTTCTCGTCAAGTCATACGTAGCATGCTCGTAGATCTACGAACAGTATACGACACTCTCATGGGCTCGGCGAACAAATGAATATTGGGCTAAAACAAATTCTGTAGTCGATCCCCTACTGGAGACCTCGAGGACGCGGACGGGCGAGCCCACGACCAGGTCCGACGCCACCTCGGGGCTGTCCATCGCCTCCGTCTCGCGGACCTCCGCTTCGGCTGCGCAAACCGCAGTGGCCCTGGGCAAGGGCGGCCTTGGGTGCGCTTGCCGATCGCTGCGTGCGATGCCACCCCAGGCATGCTCGCGTCGTGGGAGCAAAAAACACGACGGCGGATGCTTTACCATTTGCGGCCTCCAAGGGCCCTCGCAGCCCAGGACAATCAAAAAAAGGCTCGGAATAAAGAGTTGGAGCTTCGGAGGCCCCCGTTGTGGAAAAAGGAAGCCTCCCACGTCTGGGACGGCGACGGCCTGCGTGCTCTGGCATGGCCCCCCAGAAACCGCGCACCAGAGGCCAGCCCAGCGAAGGACCACTTGTTACGTGCATCCGAGACCTGCGCCTCCTGGATGATGATATACTGCCCAGGGCGGTCTTCCTATAGAGACCTCCTAGGTGGGGGCCGAGCAGGTGGGGTCGGAGGATCGCGCCACATCGCCGATGCATCGGCAATGCATCGGCGACGTCGGCGGTGCATCGGCACCGTCGGCGTGGAGAAATCGGGCTCCACATCGAGCCGCATCGCCGATGCATCCGCAATGCGGCGCGATCCTCCGACCCCATCTACTCGGACCCCATCTGGGAGGCCTAGATCCTCAGGCCCAAAACCAACCGATGACATGATGTTCTCTGTGCGTGGCCCTAGGGATATCCCGACTCTTCTTTGGGGCCAGGTTGTAGCGCTGGATCCGCTTTTTGTTGGCCCAGTGGTTCGAATCCCCCCCCCCTGGGAGCCGAAGTCCAACAACAAAACACCAGGATAAAAAAAGCCATCTTGAGCCGCGGGGGCACGGCCCAACCGCAAGGCAGGTAAGCCTCTGTCAGGTGGAGTACCCCTCTGGGACCACGAAGCGGATCTGGGATGCGCCGACCGCATGTGGACGCACCCACTGGGAACAAAACGTGTGAGGGGTGCGCCGACATGGGGGGGGAACCGCTGTTGTCGCACCGACGGGGGCCTCTGTCAGGTAGAGCCCCCTCTGGGACCACGAAACGGATCTGGGGTGCGCCGGCATGGGCGGGGAGCCGCATCTGGACGCACCCACTGGGGACAGAACGTGTGAGGGGTGCGCCGACATGGGGGGGGCCGCTGTTGTCGCACCGACTGGGGCCTCTGGGGCCTCTGTCAGGTGGAGCCCCCTCTGGGACCACGAAGCGGATCTGGGGTGCGCCGGCATGGGCGGGAAGCCGCATCTGGACACCCCCACTGGGGACAAAACGTGTGAGGGGTGCGCCGGCATGGAGGGGAGCCGCTGTTGTCGCACTGACTGGGGCCTCTGTCAGGTGGAGCCCCCTTTGGGACCACAAAACGGATCTGGGGTGCGCCGACATGGGCGGGGAGCCGCATCTGGACGCACCCACTGGGGACAAAACGTGTGAGGGGTGCGCCGACATGGGAGAATCGCTGTTGTCGCACCGACTGGGGCCTCTGTCAGGTGGAGCCCCCTCTGGGACCGCGAAACGGATCTGGGGTGCGCCGGCATGGGCGGGGAGCCGCATCTGGACGCACCCACTGGGGACAAAACGTGTGCGGGGTGCGCCGACATGGGAGAATCGCTGTTGTCGCACCGACTGGGGCCTCTGTCAGGTGGAGCCCCCACTGGGACGGACCACGAAACGGATCTGGGGTGCGCCGACATGGGCGGGGAGCCGCATGTGGACGCACCCACTGGGGACAAAACGTGTGAGGGGTGCGACGACATGGGAGAATCGCTGTTGTCGCACCGACTGGGGCCTCTGTCAGGTGGAGCCCCCTCTGGGACGGACCACGAAACGGATCTGGGATGCGCCGACATGGGCGGGGAGCCGCATGCGGACGCACCCACTCGGGACAAAACGTGTGAGGGGTGCGCCGACATGGGGGAAACCGCTGTTGTCGCACCGTCTGGGGCCTCTGTCTGGGGTGCGCCGACATGGGCGGGGAGCCACATCTGGACGCACCCACTGGGGACAAAACGTGTGAGGGGTGCGCCGACATGGGGGGGGGAACCGCTGTTGTCGCACCGACTGGGGCCTCTGTCAGGTGGAGCTTCCCATGGGACCATGAAGCGTGTCTGGGGTGCGCCGACATGGGCGGGGAGCCGCATGTGGACGCACCCACTGGGGACAAAACGTGTGAGAGGTGCGCCGACATGGGGGGGGATCCGCTGTTGTTGTAGATACTGGGGCCTCTGTCAGGTGGAGCTCCCTCTGGGACCACGAAACGGATCTGGGGTGCGCCGACATGGGCGGGGCATGTGGACGCACCGACTGGGGACAAAACGTGGAGATCCCTACAGGGCCACGAATCGATGTAGGGGTGTGCCGGCATGGGCTGGGAGACGCTATACGATAACACCCCCTGAGGGCTTCGGTGTAGCTCCGTCTTTGGGCCACGAAGCGTGTGGGGGCTGCGCGAGACTATGCGGTAACACCCTCTGGAGGCTTCGGCGGAACTGCCTCTGAATGTCTCCAGGGACTTTGGAAGGCGCGCACACGCGTCCAGGGAACTCCCGTCGCCTCGTCATTCGTCCCCCCCTCTGTGCGCATGTCCTCGTCGCCGTCGTTTTCCGAATCTTGTGGGCCGGCGCGGGGCTATCCCTGAGTCGACGCTCACGCGACGGAATACTAACAGTTCCCGGGGAAGTCCACGAGGTTCTCCAGGGACCTCGGAAAACGCATGGGGACTTCCAGAGCCCCAGCCCTCCGACGCTGTGTATTTCCTGTTTGTGAAGTGCTGAAAGCGGATGGCAGAGCAGCTGCGCATGTATACATGCTAACCTACATACAAACATCTACATGTACATACCTGCATACATACATACATACATACATACATACATACATACATACATACATACATACATATATACATACATACATACATACATATATATATATATATATATACATAAATGCATGCATACATACATACATACATAAGTATATACATACATACATCCATACATACATACATACATACATACATACATACATACATACACACACATACATACATACATACCTACAGACAGACAGACAGACAGACAGACAGACAGACAGACAGACAGACATGCATGCATGCATGCATGCATGCATGCATAAGTGCATACACACACATACATGTATGCATGCATGCATACATACATACATACAGATAAGCATACATACATACATACATACATACATGCATGCATGCATGCATGCATGGATGCGTGCGTACGTGCATACATACAAACAAACAAACAAACAAACATACATACATACATGCATGTATGCATGCATGCATACATACACGCATGCACGCATACATACATACATATATACCTGCATGCATGCATGCATACACGCAAAAATGCATATAAACATGCATGTACACACATGCATGCATACATACCTACATGCATACATACACACACACACCTGCAGACATACATAAACACATGTATCCATACATACACACATAAGTGCGCACGTAGACACAAGCAGACGTAAATACGAGCAAGCATGCATACACAAATATGAACATACAGGTATACATACGTACAGACAGATATACAGACAGGCAGACATTCACGCATATACATAAACATGCATACATACATCAATGCATGCATGCATATCTACATCCATTCAAACATATGTGCATACACACATTCATACATGAATGCATGCATGCAGACATGCATACATTCATATAAACATGCATTTCTCGCATTGCACTACAGTACAACACATGACCTGCCTGCTTGCAGACACACATGCATGCATACGTGCATAATGTATACGTGCACGCATACATACATGCATATATATACATGCATACGTACACGTACATACGCACCTGTACAAAAACATATACATGTGTATGTATGTATGTAAACATGTAGACATACATGCACGTATAGATGCATGTATGAAAATAGGTATGTGTATGTATGCATGTGTGTACGCACGTACGTGTGTATGTATGCATGCATGGTGGTACGCAAGTATGTGTGTAGATTTGCCTGCATGCGTATGTGCTCGATTGTCTGATTGTATGTATGTATGCACGCATGCATGTATGTAAGTCAGTATGTGTAGATGCATGTATGCATGTGTACATGAATAAACGTATGTGTATATATATGTATGTACGTGTGTATGCATGTATGTATGTATGGATGGATGGATGGATGGATGGATGGATGGATGGATGGATGGATGGATGGAGTGGCGCATGTATGTATGTTTGTATGTGAGTATGTGCGCATGTATTTGTGAGTGTGTATGTATGCATGCATGTATGTAAATATATATATATATGTAAACACATATAGAACCTGGCGGAGAAGGCTACCTAGAACCTGGATGGGAAGGCTACCCAAGGGCCTACCCATGGCCCCAGAGTAGCCTCGGGTAGGGGAAAGGCCGAGGGGTAGGCCTAGGGCGGGCATACTTATATGAAGGGCCTGTGGGTAGGCCCAGGGGAGGAAAAAGGTCCTAGGCCTAGGGGGAGGCCCTTGGGGTAGGCCTAGAGTAGGCTTAGGGGAAGGGCCTTAGGGTAAAACTGCCAAAGGCCTTCCCTCCAGGTACTATAAGCCTGAATACGGCGCCCTGGTCATTCGTATGGGCCTGGCCTGTCACCCGCGGGTCGGTGTTGACGGCCCCAGGGCCATGCAAAGGCCCCCCGAGGCTGAAAACGTGACAAGACCGTCTGCCACGCTTCTGCCCACCTCGCGCCGAGAGAGGCTGCAGATGCACGTGTGCCCAGACATCCAACGATGACTTTTCAACGCGTGGCCCCTGCAATCCCGACCTCTTCCCTGGGGGCAGTTTTTCGCCTCGGATACATGTTCAAGGGGTCCGGGGCCCGACAAAGGGCCCCAGCTCCCGAAATCGAGGCCAAACGCATCGGACTCAAGAGAGTACATCGTCGGAAGTCTGGAAATACAACCTGCTCCGCGGCGCCCGAAGCCCGGGTCCTCGTCCTCCTCGTCGTCGGAACCATCCCGCAGCAGGTACCAAAGCAGCCCGCCCCCCGCAGCCGCCCCCACGGCGATGCCCAGCACCCGCTGCCACCCGGGAGTCCCCATCGCCGGCCCGCCCTGCGCGCGGATGCTCGGGGGCAGCCCAGCCCGCCCTTCGGCCAGAGCGGCTGCGGAGGGCG